TGGATTCGCAATAATAGGTGACTGAGAAACAAGAAAGCATTCGTCGTTCATGGTGCCGTAGATGCTGGTATTCTATTGCATTTTTCCACATAATAACGGATTCTACCTTAGCATCAAACATGTACTTTAATATGTTATCTTCTGAGAGCTCTGTCAATTCCATCTGTAGTTCTTAAGATGCCTTGGAGACATCGTCTTGGTGACGTTGAAATGTTAATTTTAGTGTGAAGTCATGATTGTCAAAATCAGTGAGCTTTTCATTATGTTCTACGGATAACGAGTCTATAACAGCAGCAAATTCTTCAAATGATTTACATGAGTCCTCCTTCTCATTAATGCCATTGGGTAGCTGGGGAAAGTCTTTATCCAAAATTTCTATTTGAGCAAGAATTTTTTTTCGAAATTCATGGACTCTTTTCCCTTGCAAATATATATTGAAGTTATTTTGTGTTGACATATCACACAGAGATGCAACATTTCTATAGAAGTGTTTTAATAATTCACGGTAGTGAGTCTGTTCTTCATAAATTCTAATCATTTGTTCTCGCACAGATAAAATTTTAACCAGCATCAAAATTTTGACAACACCTGTCTGTCCCTGTGATAGCCAGCGCACCTGTCTCTGTGCTAGCCAGAGTATCTGTCCCAGTGATAGCCAGCGCACCTGTCTCTGTGCTAGCCAGAGTATCTGTCCCAGTGATAGCCAGCGCACCTGTCTCTGTGCTAGCCAGAGTACCTGTCCCAGTGATAGCCAGCGCACCTGTCTCTGTGCTAGCCAGAGTATCTGTCCCAGTGATAGCCAGCGCACCTGTCTCTGTGCTAGCCAGAGTATCTGTCCCAGTGATAGCCAACGCACCTGTCTCTGTGCTAGCCAGAGTACCTGTCCCAGTGATAGCCAGCGCACCTGTCTCTGTGCTAGCCAGAGTATCTGTCCCAGTGATAGCCAGCGCACCTGTCTCTGTGCTAGCCAGAGTATCTGTCCCAGTGATAGCCAGCGCACCTGTCTCTGTGCTAGCCAGAGTATCTGTCCCAGTGATAGCCAGCGCACCTGTCTCTGTGCTAGCCAGAGTACCTGTCCCAGTGATAGCCAGCGCACCTGTCTCTGTGCTAGCCAGAGTATCTGTCCCAGTGATAGCCAGCGCACCTGTCTCTGTGCTAGCCAGAGTACCTGTCCCAGTGATAGCCAGCGCACCTGTCTCTGTGCTAGCCAGCGCACCTGTCTCTGTGCTAGCCAGCGCACCTGTCTCTGTGCTAGGAAGCACACCTGCCTCAGTGCTAACCAGCGCACTTTAGAATGACACGGCAAATCCACACTGAATACCTCATCATCCAACTTAAGCAAACTGCGAAACTTCCGATGCCTTGCTGCATTTGCATGAATATAGTTAGCAATTCATATAATTTTATGCAGAGTGTCACTTAAATTAAGGATTTCTTCAGCAAAATTCTGATTCATCCAGAAGGCCGCATTTAATGCCCTAGAAGGCCGCATGCAGCCTTAAGGCTGCAGGTTCCCCACCCCTGTATTAGATACTACTACACTTTCTGGAAATCGTTCAGTCCCTTACAGTTGCCGTGCCCAGCTCCTCTTGCCATGGACTACCTGTTGCTGGGAGTGGTTTCTGATGGCCACGCCCAGCTACCTGTTGCTGGGAATGGTTTCTGATGGCCACACCCAGCTACCTGTTGCTGACAGTGGTTCCTAGTGGCCCACACCCAGAACCTGTTGTTGAGATTTGACTGTGGTGCCTCCAACCACCTGGGTGGTGGTAGTCGTGGTTTCTAACATTATTAGTAAGCGGGTTTTTGGTGGCCACATCCTGTGTTCGTGGAGGCCACATCCTTCCTATCTTTGGTTCGTGGAGGCCACTTCCTTCCTACCTTTGGTTCGTGGTAGCCACATACTTCCTACCTGTGGTTCGTGGTGGCCACATCCTTCCTACCTGTGGTTCGTGGTGGCCACATCCTTCCTGCCTGTGGTTCGTTGTGGCCACATCCTTCGTATCTGTGGTTCGTGGTGGCCACATCCCTCCTACCTGTGGTTCGTGGTGGCAACATCTCACCTGTGGTTCCTGGTGACCACACCCTACCTGTGGCCACATACTTTTTGGCCTATTGCTTCTGGTTGCCACATCCTTCCTACAGGTGTGGTTCCTCATGGTCACATCTTTGCTATGTGTGATTGCATCATTCCACACCCGCTCGTCACACCACACCCTCTAGCCACCCAACACCTTATAGTCACCCGACACCCTATAGTCACCCCACACCATACAGTATCACCCACACCCTCTCTCCCACATGATTTTTACCACATTCAGCCCTTTTAATAGTCTCTTCTACCCTTGCAGTTCGCCCCCTTGTCTCTTAGTCTGTCGCGGCCCCTTCATTCCCCCTTTTTTTTTATCTCCTGCCCTTTCTCTCCTCTCCCCCATCATGGTAAAAAATTCTGCCTAGTGACCATCAGTAGGGAGGCCACAAAAATTTCATTTATTGAAATATTGCTACTCGATCATAACAATGCCAGCTGCTGCCGCCAGGTGGCCTCTGGCATAACCTGTTCAGGGCAGAATTTTTTGTTTTATGGGCATTAATACAGACGAGCATTCGGTATTTTTTGCGAAATAAAACACACATTTTTTTTAGTTTGTAATAAAACGAAGTTGCATTCGGTATTGTTTGTTCAATAAAACACAACCAATTTTTTTTTTTTTTTTTTTTTGGGGGGGGGAGGGGTTGCTAAAAACCAATATGCATTCGATTTTGTGGTCTGTTAAAATTAATGTATATATTGTTGTTATCTCATAAAACCCACCTGCATCCTGTATTTTTTTTTTTATCGTTTGTGAGTAAACCCAGACATTTATTTTTGAAAAAAAGAAAAAACCACTTTAGCAGAATTCGAAAATTAATAGTGGCAAAATTGCCACAAATTCATAATGACGAAATTTTGTCGGTTATATTACCACTTCTCCACACTTAGCCTTATTATTATGGTCTTCCATTTACCCTTTACCTCCATGCATTTTTTTCGTCCTGAAATAACATTCAACCACTATTTGTTTCGGTCTTTAAATTTCTGGTTGATGCCGTCTCTTTTTACGAACTGCGAGACAGCATACAGAGATTTGGTGGAAAGGTGGAACTTGTGTGATGGGACAGAGAAGTCATGGTTCAAACACAGGTATGCAGTGATCAATACATTTATTAATGACACGTTTCGCAACGATCGATTTCCTCATCCACTCGTGGAGAAACGTTTCAGAGAACGTCTTCTGTTGTAGAAAATATTAAACTGTCATCTTGTGTCGTCTTATGCTGGCAGTTATGCCCATTAGAATGTAGTATTCAAGACAAGCTTTTACTGAACAACGTTTCGCTCTGTGTAAAGCTCTACACAGAGTGAAACGTTGCCCGAGTAAAATAGTGTTTTGCAGCTTGTGATTTCATACTCAGAATGTTGCAAGGTGATTTTGTATGGGGATGTTGCAGAGGCATTTACGTATTGATTCTCCAGTGCTTTTCCTGAGGTCTGGTATGTTGTAGTAAGTTATTGAAATGGGTGGTATTGCAGCGGGTGTCGCAAGGGGAGAATTTCAGGGGGAGATGGATTGAAGTTTTGATCTTCCCCAGAGGTCGTGAATAACGGGATGATACAAAGATTTTCAGATGTAGGGGGTGTTAAAGAGATAAGATTTTCAGATGTTGGAGATGTTTAAAAGGAAAACTTTTAGATGTTGAGGTGTTTAAGAAGAAAGACTCTCAGGTGTTAGGGGTGTTTAAGAACGAAAACCTCCAGATGTTGGGTTTTTTAAAGAAGACTTAAGATGTTGGGGGTGTTAGAGAAAACTTCAGATGTTGGGGGTTTTGGATAGGATTTCAGATGTTGGGTTTTTTAGAGACTTCAGATGTTGGGGGTATTAGAGAAGACTTCAGATGTTGGGGGTGTTAAAGAAGGAAAACTTTCAGTTGTAAGCGATATTCAAGAGGAACAACACTCTTATGAGGTGGTAGTTAAGTTCTCTCGCTAACGAGACTGAAGAAGTGAGTGTTGCATTGAAAGATTTTCAAGGGGTAGGAGTGTTGCGGAGGAGGATTTCAGGGGGCATGAGGTGTTGCAGGGGGGAATATGAGGTGTTGCAATGGTGTTGCTTTGTTGCGTCTAGAGATAGTGTTGCCGCCTGGGGTATCGACCGTGTATCCTCTGAGGTGAGGTTGCCAGTGTGCGAGGAGAGAGAGAGAGAGAGAGAGAGAGAGAGAGAGAGAGAGAGAGACAGACAGACAGACAGACAGACAGAGAAACAGGGGAAAGGCACCAAAAAGGCGCAAAGCAAGAGACAGACAGGGCATAAAGATAAGGAAGAACAAACGACTACAAAAACACAGAAAAGGAGTGACAGGCAGAGAAACAGATTAGATGACGAACAGAGAGTAAACAAGAAAAAGGGAGAACAAGAAACAACCAGAGAGACAGAGAGAGATATAGATAGAGCAGGAGACAGATAGACAGACAGGGAGAAAAATAAGCGTTAGTGGCTGGTGGTGGTATTGATGAGTAAGATTGTGATGATGGTGGTGCGTTCAGTGGGGGAGGGAAGGAGGTGCGTACATTAATGGTGACAGTGGTGAGTATAATGATGGCGATGGTGCTTAGAGTGAGTGGTGGTGCGTAATATGCTTAAAGTGATTTCACCCCACTGGGAAAAGGAGACTGGAGTTACAATGGTTTCACCCCACTAGGAAAGAGCGGCTGGGGTTACAATGCCTTCACCCCATTGGAAAAGACCGGCTGGGGTTACAATGGCTTCACCCCACTGGGAAAGAGCGGCTGGGGTTACAGTGGTTTCACCCCACTAGGAAAGAGCGACTGGAGCTCTGTTCCTAAAACAGTATTTTTTTTCCTAATCTCAACCTCATAATCTTAATACACAAATAGGACTGAGTTCGAGAACTCCTTTTTACCTTTCATAAATATTGGAAATGTGTTTTTCCTCCTTCAGGTATTCGACAGGTTACCATCTTAAGTTTTTTGAAGAAGATCTGGAGAGAGGTCTTGCTCAGGGCTACACCTCCTTTCAATATCCAAAGCCATATTTTATCGGGTCGTATTCCTGTTGGCATGTTGATCTTTTTAGGGAACTTTATTCTGCCAGAGTTGGAAATTTTCTTGCGTGAGGCTCCATTAGAAATCTCGATTTTTTTTTTTGTGTGTGTGTGTGTGTTTTCAGGTCTCGGTCACCTTCAGGAGCTGGAGTTCTTTCTTCTTTGCTTCTTTCACATGTCGAATTACCTAATTAAACCGACTCACTCCTTCCTCGGCTGTTTTTTTTTTTTTTGTGAATCAAACTTCTTAAAAGCGGAAGACTCTTTTCCTTGATCGTTATACTAGTGTTTATCAATTGTGTGTGCCTTGTCCTTGTGCTTTCTATTTCTGTTAACGGCAATCGAGCGCTTGCGTACACGATATGGAATCTTTTGATGAGCTGCTGGTATATTTCCTTATCAATTTCTGTGAGTAGGTGTCCATTCTTTGTCAGTCTTATCACCTAATTCTTTGCTGTTATCTTTTTCATGTGACTGGGTTGTAATTTTCGCTCAGTCTTCGCTATGGCTTCAATGTAGTTTTAAATGAATCTTTCATCCTACATCTTTCTTCATTGTTAGCTCTCCAAATTATGCCTGTTTTCTCTCGTAGTAATTCTTTGTATTTCATATTTTTTTCCATTTTTTCATCCATATACTTGCGACTGAATCACTGGTTCTGTGTTTCTTTTCCAGCTCATCGTGGTTAGGGATGATTTTTTATCTGTCTCTTACCAAAACCTTTGGGAGTACTTCGCCCATCAAGAGCTTTCCCTCATATTTCTTCTTGAAACATATTCTCCTATCTTAAGTCGTAGCTTCTCTATACTCATTTCCTGATTCCATTATCTTTTTCCCCTTGTCTTTTAGATAGATACATAAGTCAACATAGGGTGGTCTCAAGCCCCTACAGGAACTCTGGAATCTATCTTTGTGTACATCTCATTATGGAAGTATACAGGTATGGGCAAGTTGGGTCATCACCCCCTCACTCTTGGAGGGTTTCTCATATGCATCCTCAGCAAGTGAGGTATTATGCGAAAGAGTTTGGGTTTCCACAGTTCTGGTTTACTGTGAGGGGAAGGGGAGTTAATTCTCAGATTAAATAACTTTTTTGAAGTCTTTTAGAACCAGAAGCCCCACTCTCACCATGTTTCCCACAGCAGCTGTTTTCCCAGTAGTGACTATCATTTTCTTGCTGTTGTTTTGGTGGGCGATTTTATTTCTTCCTTGAAAACTTACTATGAATAGCATTCAAAAGGAAGTGTTCATCAGTGAAAAAGAAATTTCAATAGAACTATGCTTCTTTCCCTTCTACTTTTCTTCTTTTCTGTATATTCTTAACTTGCCTGGAAGATGCAATCTATTATCATTTCTCTTCGCTTGGTGTCTGTGACCATGAATATGGCTCGTGGCCTTGAATAGAGCTCATGGGGATTTTCTTCAGCTGATATTTAACACGTTGAGCTTCTTTACTATTATGGCACTGTTAAGGTTTCATGGTCGGTCGCATCTTCCCATTCTCCACATAGGGACTGTGTGGCCAAATGTTTGGTTTTGTTATTGGGATTTATAATCGAGGATTGCGCAACAAAGTCAGGTGGTGGGATTTATTTCCATTGAAGCGCCTCTCCGATGCGATCCACAGAGGATGACTAACCTCCAGGATGACTAACACCCAGGATGACTAACACCCAAGATCACTAACAACCAGGATGACTAACACCCAGGACGACTAACATTCAGGATGATTAACGCCCAGAATGACTAACACCTAGGATGACTAACACCCAGGATGACTAACACCCAGGATGACTAACACCCAGGATAACTAACACCCAGGATGACTAACACTCAGGATGACTAACACCCAGGATGACTAACACCCAGGATGACTAACACCCAGGATGACTAACACCCAGGATGACTAACACCCAGGATGACTAACACCCAGGATGAGTAACACCCAGGATGGCTAACACTAAGGTATCTATTTTACTGCAACCTAATGTCTTGTTGCCGGCAACATTGAAGAAATACGACGTTAAAGAATAAGATTTCACTGGTCAACATTATCGCTCTATGTAGAGCTGTGTTTTGATATAACTCGATCAAGTGAAACGTTGTAATAATAAAAGCCTGTTTTGCAATGCGTTCTGTCTCAATATCTATTTCACCGCCAGTTGACCACGGGCAGAAGGTTTAAGGAGACTTGCTCATACGTCTTGATCCGCCAAGGAAACGAACCCAGGTTATTTCGCTTTAATCCGAACGCTCAGCCAGAAGCTCCTGGGTGATTTGTGGTTCCGTGAAATGTGGGAAAGATGAAAGGAAAATGTGGGAGAGGGGGGGAGGAGTAGAAGCGTCGGGAGGTAAGGAACGAGGGAGGGAATTCATTGGAAAGGTTAGTGGGGTGGA